TGACTCTCATTAAAGCTCATATTTAAGTGATTTGTGACCACATTCATGGTACCCTATGCATTATTACAGAAAACACCCAAGACATCACAACTACTCATCTATGATCGCTGGCAATTGAACAAGACTGCCAGGGCTCCAATAAAGATGATGTTTCCAATTCATATCTCCAAAATCACAGAGTCATCTTAAATATAGAACAAAGACAACATAACACTAGAGATGGGAAAGCATATAAGACCCTAAAATATTGATCTATCAATGTCTTCTACCACTGATTACTCTAAGTTTGAAAGTAAAAGATTTTTATCATGTTAAAACCAAAAGTAGCCAGGAGCTGGCTGCTCCCATCTGTAATACTAACTACTGAGGAGGCTGAAATCTGCAAGACTGTGGCTTGAAGGCAGACAAATCTATGAGGTTAGTATTAACCAGAAAAAAAGCCAGTGCTGAAGGCGTGGCTCAAGTGGTAGAGCAACAACCTTGAGTAAAAAAGACATCTTTTTTACTTGAGTTCAAGGTCTTGAGTTAAAACCCAGTACAGCCCCCACCCACCCCGCAAGCACTTTTTGATGTTGTTGTTTTCAATACAGAAAAGAAACAGCATCAAATTGGTCTACATGTTCAAACAAAAAATGGTGAGTAAAAATCATGCCCACTCTAAACTAATTTTCTAAACATGTTACTATGGGTGGTCATGTATCTCCCTCACACATTACTTCTCGGTGGAGATAAAAATATGTTCAGTCTAACAAGAACACATGACTTCACATCACCATTGGTATTTCTCCAGCTGATATCAATAATATAAGATTCATCAATTCTTCTAGACCAAGTGACAAACATGACCCCTTCCTCCTGACAGTGGTGTCTAGTTCAACAAGGGTGTTCAACTCTTGGATAACACTGTTAATGTCTCTCTCAAACTGCCTTTTCGCATCTGGCAAAGGGAAGGACTGCTTTCTAGTTCTACAATTCAAAGACAGCCTGATTAATGCATGAAAAATACCCTTACACAAAAGCAGAAAAGAAATAAGCTCAGCTGTCACCTCCATCAAAGAGAACAGAGCTGTTTGTGTCCTTATAGCATTCTGTTATAGTTACTATGCCAAGCCCAAATTAGAAATGAGCTGTAACTATTTACCCTTTGTGGAATAGAATAGTAACCTTAAGAACAGTAAAGTAAAATAGAATTTAGAAAAATAAAGTCTAGCCCTAGGACTCCCAATTAAGAACATTCATCGCACCTCTCTTGATCTATCTTCATAACTTATGTGAAGCAATGCAAACAAAGCTGGAAAAAGAGAACTTATTTATATTACACAGTAGTACACAAGATAATATACTTAGGAATACTTTGTGAAAAGGGTCAGCTTGTTGAAATTAATCTGAAAAAAGTATCATAAAATACTTTTTTAAATGGAGTAAAAGAGGACATGAGCCTTCTGGTTCAACCACCAATATATACAATTCTTTCAAATCAATAAAACTCTATACATGGAGGCCAGATACTATTTTTAATACATAGGATTTTTACATTATTTTCTGGAGGGTGAACTGAACCATGCATTCAGGCATACAAGTCAAGTGCCATACAACTAAGGTATATCCCTACACTTGATACATGACTCTTTTTGTTATTTTTCCCTCTTATTTTTCCTCTTACTAAGTTCTGAATGCAGAGTCTTGCACTTATAGACAATACTATTTCACATGATCAATGCATAAGAAAAGCCAGCCCTACTTATTTTAGCAATTATGGTTGTGCCATGGCCAGTCTTAGATTGTGATCTTCCTATGTGTCCCTCCTGCATATCCACAAATGAGTGCCACCATGTCCAGCTTATTTGTTGAGATAAAGACTTGCTAACTTTTTCCCCTGGGCTCAATTCGTACCTCCTGAATAACTGAGTATACAGGTATATAGATCCAAGCCTAGCAACAGGATTGTTGAAAAGCTCTTTTACTTCTGGTCTTAATCAGTAAGAATGGCAATAACGGAAAGTTGCAATAAAAATTATCTTCTGAAAATTAAAAGACAATGCAATAGAAATGATAGACAAATTATAAAAGAATGTATCATTTAAAGGGATTATAGTGAAACGTTCATTTAAATTAGTATTGACACATTCACTTTTTTTTAAAAAAATCTAACATTAAAAATGTTTTTAAATGGAATTTGAGAGACTGGTCAAATTCTAGACTACAGACAACTCCAAATTCTGTATAAGATTCCACTTAAAGTTCCAATCAGACCAACTATTGGAAGAGAGAGAGAAATAGTGTGTGTGATTTCAAAGAAGAAAATAATATCTTCATAAAGTAAGAAAACTCACATACTTTGCTCTCTGCCAACAACAGAGAAAGAAATATACTTTGCTGTGTTATCAAAGTAAAGAGGTTTGCTTTGCTTTAATATTTTTGTTACTCTTCAAAACAGTGAAAGAACCCAGATTATACCATAAGCAATACTAAAGAATAGTACTTTACAGACTTGAAAAACAAAGAATTATCATGTTTTCCTCATCACTATATAATAAAAGTTGATAGGATAAAATTTAAATGTATATATAACATACATATGAAACATATATGCATGTGTTATATGTACATTATATATTAGGTGTGTGCATATGCATAAACATTCATATGCACATATATTTATGGAATCAACATACATAGTACTGGACACAGAAGAGCGTTTGAAAATGTACTGGCATTCAAAGACAGCTGAGGAAATAAGAATCTTTACAAAATCAGTGGAAAGTAGGAGAACAATAGAAATGAAAGTACCTAAAATATGAATAGCTACTAACTGGGGGAAAAAAATCACACTCCATTTTTAAGTGTGTCAAAACCCTTTAGACAAAGGCTATTAGCAAAGTATCTTAGAAAATTATAATATGTGTAACATATAAATATAAATTGATGTAGAAGACATGTAAGTACTTTTCTGCTTTCACAGTAAGAATTGAAAAACACGAACGTAAACTCCAGAAATTACAGATATAATGCTAAGGCGAGAAATGTAATTGGCAACCTGAAGGCAGCAGTGGTTAAACAACTCCTGGACTACAAAGCTCAAAAAAAAATGGGTAAAGGAAAGTAAAGGCAACTGAAAGAGGGAGGCTGAAACTGCAGACTAGGGGATACCTAGCAGCTTCAGTTCAGAAATCTACTAACCACAAAACTATACAGTCATGTCCCTCTGTAAGATTCCATAGTGTTATAGGGTTATAGGAAGAAGCGATAATATAAAAGAGTACCTAGTATCTTCTACCTGTCTAGTAAGTATAAGAATTAGAGCAGAGGCAATAATAAAAGTGGCTGAAACTTGACAGAGCAAACATATGTGGAAATCTGAGGCGAGAGGTGATGACTTGGGTGCCAGGTCACACCAGACATTTTGGAGGAAGTGATAAACATAGAACTTCTAGAGGCAACAACTACAACAAAAATAGATAGACAGGCAGGCAGGCAGGCAGACAGACAGACAGACACTGAGAATGAGCAATGTGTCGGGAACTGCAGAATATGCCAACAAATCAGAGTAAACTCCAAGGTTTCTGGAGCATTTGAGGGTAGTAGAGGCAGGGTACCACAAACCCAAGGGAGTCATCCTTGTTACTAGCAAACCGAGTCACAGCATTCACAGCAAAGGAGTTCAAAGCAAAACCACTATGACTCTTCCCATATGTACCATCCATCAGCTTGTTCAATATAGAACCTAACCACAGACTAACCCTTAGGTATGTAATCAACTGTCTACACACTGTGATGCCCTCATATCATTGACTCCTGCTGACAACTGACCCTGTCTTTCTTCCTTTTACTATTATCAGGAAATCCACTTAGATTATCTCCAAAGTTAGGAATGACCCTAGTAAGCAGACAAGGGGAAAAGCTGACTTAACAGCTGAGGAATCCAACTCATGGCCCCTCCTGTTCCTGAAGAAGGGATCCTCTCCAGATTCCACTTCCAAGTTCCCACATAACTAAAGAATGCCAGCCCACCAGTCCCTCTAAGTCTCAATTACTTGGAAAAAATACAATCTCCTTCAACCACAAAAAGACTCAAGCACTTGCTTTAGCTTTCAGGAGAACACCAAGGGCTTCACTTACTGTTTTGTCCACAGCAGCTTTCTGATGGCCTTACTGATATATTTTCTGAGGAAAAGACACTCCAAAATCCACAGTTATAGTATTAGGCAAATCCACAGCTACAGTACCAGGAAGTTGAAGACCAACCCTGGCTACCTCTCAGGCCTAACATCTAGAACAGCCTTTGGATGTTGGTCCTAAAAACACTACTAGACAAGAAGAGCATTAACATATCAAGACTCTGGAACTGTTCCATACAATATTGCTAGAACGGATATGCAAACATCATCTCAAAAGAAGTGGAAAAACATGGAGAAGGTAAGAAAATTTTTAAAAAGAAGGGACAAGGGTGTAAGTTAAAAAACTGAAAGGCTGAATCAACTTTCATTAACGTTTTCCCCCGCTGAGCTCCAACAATTCTAACAGAACTTTAGGAGAGAAAAACACCTGGAAATGGTGTTTTTTTATTCAGTATCTTATTAGGCTAATCTACTATTAGTTTCTCATTGAAGTATTGTTTGGCAATATTTGGAACACTTATTTGATGGCAATGGGGAGGAATCGTTGGATGTTAGTCACATCACCAAGATGAAGGATAAGGCGGTAAAAGGGCACTAAGCTATGAGTGAAAAACTCAGATTTCTAGTCTAGGTTTCTTTCCTATTTTCATTTGTCCATGCACAGCCATACAGTACTTGTGAGGTTTTAATCTCTTGGTTTCTGAAAGAAAAGTTGATTTAGATGATCATTATTAGCCTTTGATAGTCTATACACTATAGGAAATACACTGTGAATTCATGAGTTACATTTTTTTTTCAATACAACAGTGTAGTATCTCAATCCTCACTACTACCCTGAATATTCCCTCACTGGACACCCATTTCCGAAAGACTAGCACTTACCTTCACTTCCAGGTTGCTTGTATGGGTTGTACTTGGGTTTTGGAGCCACCACTGGTGCAAACTTCTTGGGTGGTTGCTGCATAGACACCGAAATACTAGGAGTCCCAAAAGAATGGGTGGTCTCCATCCGTGCAGGGACATGGCCAAGAGGCTCACCAGTGCTTTTGGGTGGCAGCCAAGATGGATGAGACATTGTTGAAATCTGCAATTAAAAAGAAATAAGCACTGCTTAGATAGAAGTATGAAAATGCAAGTGTTACTTTGTTGTTATTTATCTTGTCCAAAGTTAATCTTTATGCTGTTCTCTGCAAAGAAGACTGAAACAAGAACCAAAAAAAATACAAGAATACAAAAGAAGGAAAAGAACAATGATCAGAAAGAAGCAATAAGTGGAGAAGAGAAGAAATGGAAGAAGAAAACAGCTTTGTATTCTTGAACACCTCACTTCTCACAATTTCCTGTTTTAGTGTCTATCTTTCCCAGAAAAGTAAATATATATAGTTCCCAGTTTGAAGAAATTTCTATGTAGCACAATGAGGTAAATTTTCAATTTTATAGATGGTCTTTATTTATAAAATAGCTACCATACCAATTCCACAGTAATATCTGCATGAAGTGATGCTACCTGAGTGAAGTTTAATATCAAAAAGTGCTACTAAGACAAAGAAAAAGATATGATTAATTCTTCCTACGAAGAGAACAACCAGACTTCACTGATGATAAGCTATTCAGACTTAGGACTTAAGTGTCAAATAGAGTTTAGACATGAAAAATATTAAAGTTGCATAGGCAAAAAAACTACACAGCACTTATTTAGTGTGGTTGGATGTAACACAGAAGAAAGTAGCTGTCAACAAAACTGAAACATATGATGGAACCCAAGTGAGACCACTTCCCGTGAACACTTTGGTCTAAAGTTACTTTGGAGGCATTAATAAAACAGTAAAAGTTCATGTGGATAAAAGTACATAAGGAGACACTTGAAAATGTCCCCTCTGTATGAGCATTTCTCCACTCCAGTGAGGACTGCTTGGGATAAGGCAAGGAGTCCACGAACACTGATTGCTACAATGCCTGATATGCATACTCACATTTAGTGGAAAATGAATAGACTATGCAATGTCTGTAATTCTCAAATCGTCCCTATACGACAAAGAAATTCTCACCAAGAGCTCTCCTGAGCTGATAACACATGCAAAATTTATGAAAAAACGAACCTCAACTACATGGGAGACAAGCAGCTCATCCTGGATGCTTGTTCTGATTAGATCACATACACTGTGTGAAGAAAGAAGCATGAGCTCTCCTCTATCAAAGTCTGCCAATCACTCCTCTAGGCAGCCTGCCTGCTGAGGGTGAGCCTCACGAATTTCTGAGGAGGGCTCTCCAGGCCTGATTGCAAGAGCTCTCCAGCACAGGGAGGCCCGGAAGATGCTTTGCACTCACTCCCAGCCCCAAATCCACCCAGTAATTTATTAATTGAACTGAATTAATTAAGAGGGGTACATGATTACCTCCAGATGTCTGTGAAGACTAAGAACATGGGAAATGCAGGCACAAATGAAGGTCTCAGCACATGGCATAGCAATGGGAGAAGGAGAAGGAAGGTTAAATATAGCACTGCAAGGAACTAACACCAGTCTAAGCCATGGATGAGTGGCATGAGTTTGAGGTTGCTCCTCCAGTCCCTTGAATGACTCCAATCTCTCAATATTCTGAAATAAAGCTCCTTGTCCTTCCTCCTCATTCCCCAGAGCTTTCAGGACAACCGCTGAGATATTAAAGTGCTTGTGTATTGTGCTTTGGAAAGTAGGGGAAAGGAATGTCTCCATTGAACATCACAGGACCGGGCTAAGAAGCTGGCTCAGTGGTGGAGTGCTTGCCTTGCGTGCATGAGGCCCTGGGTTCGATTCCTCAGCACCTAAGAAGAAAAAGCCACAAGTGGTGCTGTGGCTCAAGCAGTAGAGCGCTAGCCTTGAGCTGAAGAGCTGAGGGACAGTGCCCAGGCCCAGAGTTCAGGCCCCACAACTGACCAAAAAAAAAAAAAAAAAAAATAGGAAGAAGAAGAAGACTTTAGAAAATCACATGACCGTCTCTTCAAGAACAATAGAGGCAGTTTCATCAATAAAAGATGATTCTAGAAACCAATGAAGAAGACCCCAATTGGGAATCAGGCCTAATGACATGGACACAGTGATAGCTTCTTTGTCCCTCTGATCACATGGGCTGTTCTTTTCCTTTCCCCACCCTATCCCTGCCACACATATGTATAAACTTTAAAACATTTTGAGTAGCTTGAAAAGGTAACCACTTTTTTCAGACAACTTTAAACCACTAAGGTACACCACAAATCCAATACAGAAAAACAATAAATAAATGTTGCTTTTAGTCAGAATTTTTCAATCTGGTTGCAAATTTAGGCAAGAGTCCTTAAATCTGGAAACATTTGGAGAAAAAAAATTAAGCCAAGCCCCATCTCTCAGGTTTGAGAAATACCAATTTTGTTTTTATTTTTAAATGTGTCTCTGTTTTCTACTAAATGGGGATAAAAGTAACTCTTGCTTTCAGCATGACTAATGTGACTTAGAAATGGGAAATAAATAGGATCAAAAAGGTTTTAAAGTTTTAATGCACTATGCACATTTGTAGTATAAAAATTAATTATAAATTTTAGATGGGTTAATACTATCCTTGTAACTTTTCTGCAAATCAAAATTTATCCAAAGCAGATGCTTTTAAAATGGATTAACATAAAATGCAGTAGTTTCTAAACACAAACATGAACATTTCCAGAGCAATCCTGTTGCTTGCTGACTGTGCCATACTGACCTTTCTAGATATACCATAAATACAAAGCAACGGACAACTTCTGAGTAAGCATAGAAATGAAAATATGCAAACCATTGGTTCCACTGTCAGGTGAGGTACTCCAGCTCCATGAATTACTCTGCTCTTCCTCTGGTTCTAGACAAGTTTCACTCTAGGCTTATAATCATCATGAAATCAAGAAATGAAATGGTGTTAGGTGAAATGAACCCCAAGATACGGATTCAAATGTTTTTTTTCTTTCATGCGATTGTTTCTAACATATTTATAAGATGATTTCTTTGTTGCTTTGTATGTCCCTCCCCCACGATATAACCCCTGCTTTCACTGTATTTGATGTTGGTATAATTTGTGGAGGGGAAGGGGAAAAAAATCGCTTAACTAGGGATACAGGTGGACCCATTGCAACAATGAGATGTACAAGTTGTTATGTCGAAAACGAACTGGTTGGGGGGGAGGGGGGGGTGAAGGGAAGGGATGGGAAGGGAAAACAAAAGAGCAAAAGAGGAGGCAACAATGCTTGATAGATAAGAAATGTACCCATTACCTTGCCCATGTAATTGTAACCCCTCTATATGGTATTTTCACAATTAAAAAAAAAAAGAAATGAAATGGAAGAATCCCAAAGAGGCTCTGAAAATATGTAGAACTCTATCAAAGAAAAGCCAACATGAAATATGGCCCTCCAGTAAGCAAGATGCTTATTGCTGACGGGAATGAGGAAGCTATGCCATCCCAGCCACTGTTCTTTCAGAAACTGTGTCAGATATGAAGGAATAGAAGGTTCACTTAGCTTCTCCATTACTCCTGTTACCACCCCCATCTATGGGGTGAGAATAGAAATGCCAAAGATTGTTTACTGAGGACATACTGGATGATTTTTCCAATGGCCACTTAGTGCTTCCATGTCCACATTCCTATATGAAGTAGCATTGCTATTAACCACAACTATCAAATCTGAAAATAAGTTTCAGCCAGGTGCTAGTAGCTCATACCCATAATCCGAGCTACTGAGGAGGCTGAGAACCTAGTATCACAGTTTGAAGCCAGACTGAACAAACAAGTCCACAAGATTCTTATCTCTGAGTAACCAACAAAAAGCCAGAAGTGGAGTTGGGGTGGCTGGTAAAGTACCAACCTGAGTAAAAAAGCTAAGGCATAGCATCTAAGACCTGAACTTAAGGCCCATTCCAGGGAGCATGTAAATTTGGAGCTGGGGTATTACTCAGTGGTAGATCACATGTGCAAGACCTTGAGTTTGTTCCTCAGAGCTGCTCCCATTAAAAAAAAAAAAAGTAAGACTTTAAGAGGCTGGATAAATTACTTGATAAACAACTATAAATAACTGCAAAGCTAAGACAATCTTTGTCATGGATTTTTTTACCTGAAATTTATAGTTTTTAAAAATAGTAGTTTTAATTTTTTAATAATCTCTATTCTTTTCTCTTGAATCCAAAGTAGCTATAATGTAGTCTGTGTTCTGTTCCAGCAAATCTAACAAAAATAAGCCTGAAGACAGACGTCAACAGACCAAGGTATATCATAATGTAAATGACTAAAATAATAACATAATGTAAATGACTAAAAAAGTTCATATAATGACCAAGACCTTACACAGATAAGTGAAAAGACTTGGGCCACAGTCATGTGACAGCTAATACTAGCAAAGATACTAAGCCTCTTTAAAAGTCATTCACAAAAATAGAATATATGGTGTTTGGTCATATTATCTTACTTCTCTTCAAATCAATACACCATTCAATAAATATCTATATAGGTAACCAAATTTTTAAAACAACTAGCAGTGTTGTCAATATGTATCACAAAGTGCCACAAGCTTAAAATAGTGATTTTCAAAACTACGTACAAAAAATATGGAATCTTTGAGTTTACATCTATCTTTATTATTACAGTGTTGAGGATTGAATTGAGGGTCTTTGCATGCTAGACAAGCACTCCACAGTTAATTTATGTGTCTTAGTCTATTATGTATACATTCTGATTCAAGAGTTGAAAGTGATTTGCGTAAGGCATTTAGAGTTAATTTCTATTGCATTGGTCCCTCGATCTCTCTTGACAAGTAACTCAAGGCCTGGCTTTCTATAAGTGTTTTCTGAATAAATGAACAATATTAAACTAAGGAATGGAAATTACCATTCTTTTAGTGGTAGAAGAAATGGCAGACAGACACTGGGACTTAAGTAGCTGAAGGCAACATTTTCTTCATTTAATCAAATGACACATTCCCCAAACTTGCAAGATTTTTCTTGAACTCTTCTCTGTATTTGAAAATGAACCGATTGTTGGAATTTAAAAAAAGTGTTTTCTAATCATTTATAAGAATGGCACGCTATGCTTTCCTGTTTTCCTATTCTA